CAGATGATACAATCTTGCTTGCTAAAAGTGAAGATGACTTAAAATACCCATGAAGATCAAAGACCACAGCCTTCAGTATAGGTTACACCGTAGTGTAAAGAAAACAAGAGTTTTCACCAGAAGACCAATACATTCATGATAAATGGAGAAAAGACTGAAATTGTCAAAGACTTCATTTTGCTTGGATCCATTATCAACAGTCATGGATGCAACAGTCAAGAAATCAACCGCTGTATCACGTTAGGCAAATCTGCGGCACAAGACTTCTTTGAAGTCTTCAAGAATAAAAATGTCAGTTTGAGGATTAAGGTGCACCTTAATCAATAGCTACACATGTGTGTGAAAATTGAACAGTGAATAAGGAAGACTGTAGAAAAATGGATTCATTTAAGTTACGGAGATGGAGAAGACCATTAATAGTACCATGAATTGTCAGAAGAACAAACAAATCTGTGTTGGAAGAAGAGCAGCCAGAGTGCTCCTTATAAACCGGGATGGTGAGACCTCATCGCTCATAATTTGAATATATTTTCAGGAGGGACCAGTTCCTGGAGAAAGACATCATGCTTGATAAAATGGAGGGTCATCAAAAAAGAAGACGACCCCTAAGGAGATGGACTATCACACTGGCAGCAGCAACGGGCTCAGTTGGGAGGACGATGCAGGACCAGGCAGTATTTTATTCTGTTATGCATAGGTCGCTATGAGTCGGAATCGACTCAATGGCACCTAACAACAACTTCATTCATTTAATTAATTCAACCAATAAATATTAACCAAGAACAGACTATGCATCATATAATGTTCCAGGGCCAGGGATACAACAATGAACAAAACATTGTACTGGGGAAGGAATGTTATAGAAAGAGAACACATACATAGTTAGGAAAGGGCAAAACCTGGACAAGAACCCAGACAGTCTGACTCCAGAATTTATGCTATACCATCTGCCTGTGATTGCTTTCATAGTTTGTTTCTTCTACAAATGTTTATAACTCTCTTCCATCCAATAAAAATGCCTCTGTCAGTTTCTAATTCTAAATACAAAGTAGACCTTTGTACATCTTGCATATCACTTAATTTCTCTGAGACTCAGCTTTTATATCTGTGAAAATAAAGCTACTAATCTCAACCTGCCATGAGGATACCTAAAATCTGTGATACACAATAGGCATTTGGGGAGCAGCCCTGGTGCAGTGGTTAAAGTGCTTGGATGCTAACTGAAAGGTTAGTGGTTCAAGCCTATTAGTCACTTTGCAAGAGAAAAAATGTGGCTGTCAGCTTGTGTAAAGATTTATAGTCTAGGAATCCCTGTCAATCAGTCCTACTCTACCCTATATGGTCATGATGACTTGGAAAGGACTCAATGGTAGTGGGATAGGTATTCAATAAAGCAAATTTTCTTTTTCTTTTTCCACACAAATGCTACACTCTAAAGTTCTCTCAGAACAAGGACTGTCTTTTGTTCTGATTAATTTAGTCAATCAGTTTATATATTAATTCCCACATCCAGTTAAAAAGCATTTGCTGAGGATTCAAAATATACAAAGCTTTCTGCTATGCACTGGGAATGCTTTAAGCTCAGTCAGATTCAAGAGATAAATAATGACAATACACCCTAATAGATAAGAATTAGCAGGGATAATTGTGGAAGAAGGTTTCCTAAAGGGACTCTCTCTCAGAGCAAGGTCAGCACAACACAATTCTGTTGCTAAAGTCTGCAAGAATACATGAATATATTAAGTGGTGGTGGTTACTTGCTATGGAGTTGGTTCCAACCCATAGCAACCCTGTATAAGGTTTCTGAGGCTGGAACTCTTGCTCCCATGGAATGGCTGGTAGTTTCGAACTGCTGACCTTGAGGTTAGCAACACAAATAGTAACCACTAATCGACCAGAGCTCCTTAATCTATCAAGTAATAAAGTGAGAGTATGAAGATGAAGAAGCCCTTCAAGGAGCTTCTAGTCTTTTGGCAGGCACAAACCTCTACACACCGTTTCCATACAATGGAGAGGAAGCTTGGGAGCAATAAGAAGACCGGGGAGGGCTCGTCACTCAATCAGTGTAGGTGTCCTAGAATGAGCTCATGGAAGCTGGATATCTGCAGTAGATGCATGGGAACCACTGGCAGCCTCTAAGAGAGGAATAACATAGCTGAATTTATTTGTTGGTAGGATAGAAGATGAAAATGGGGAAGACTAAAGTCAAAGTGACTCAAGCCCTAGTATTTTCAATAACCTCATATGCATGCGAAAGCTGGACAGTGAATAAGGAAGACTGTAGAAGAATTGATGCATTTGAATTATGGTGTTAGAGGAGAATATTGAAAGTGCCATGGGCTGCCAAAAGAACAATACATTTGTGTTGGAAGAACAGCCAGAGTGCTCCTTGGAGGCCAAGATGGCCAGACTTCGTCTTTCATACTTCGGACCTATTATCAGGAAGGAACAATCACTAGAGAAGGAAATCATGTTTAGTAAAGTGGAGGATTGGAGAAAAAAAGAAAGACCTCCAATGAGATAGATTGGCACAGTGGCAACATCAATGGGTTCAAATGTAGCAACGATTGTGAGGTTGGCCCAGAAATGGGTAGTGTTTTATTCTGTTGTGCATAGGGTCACTATGAGTTGATACTGACTTGATGGCACGTAACAGCAACACTTAATTGTGCTCATGAGGAATCTGTACCTGGACCAAGAGGCAGTTGTTTGACCGAACATGGGAACACTGAATGATTTAAAATTAAGAAAGGTGTGTGATAAGGTTGTATTCTTTCACCATACTTATTCAACCTGTATGCTGAGAAAATAATATGATACACTGGGTTCTATGAAGAAAAACATGGCATCAGGATTGGAGAAAGACTCAATAATAACCTGCGATAGGCAGATGATACAACCTTGCTTGCTGAAAGTGAAGAGGACTTAAAACATTTACTGATGAAGATCAAAGAACACAGCCTTGGGTATGGATTACAATGTCAAGAAAACAAAAATCCTCACCACTGGACCAATAAACAACATTCTTATCAACGGAGAAAAGATTAAAGTTGTCAAGGACTTCATTCTTCTTGGATCAACTATCAACACTTATGGAAGCAGCAATCAAGAAATCAAATGACGTATCAGGCAAAACTGCTGCACAAGACCTTTTTAAAGTGTTGAAGAGCAAAGATGTCAGCTTGAGGACTAAGGTGCGCCTGACGCAAGCCATGGTATTTTCAATAACCTCATATGGATACAAAAGCTGGACAGTGAATAAGGAAGACCATAGAAGAATTTATGCCTTTGAATTATGGTGTTGGAGGAGAATACTAAAAGTGCCATGGGCTGCCAAAAGAACCAATAGATCTGCTTTGGAAGAAGTGCAGCCAGAGTGCTCCTTAGAGGCCAAGATGGCCAAACTTTGTCTCTCATACTTTGGACATATTGTCAGGAGGGAACAGTCACTGGAGAAGGGTATCATGTTTGGTAAGGTGGAGGAGGGTCAGAGAAAAAGAGGAAGACCCCCAATGAGATGGATTGGCCAGGTGTAAGCATCGATAGACTCAAGTGTGGCAACAGTAGTGAGGTAGGCCCAGGATCGGACATTGTTTCGTTCTCCCTGTGCATAAGGTCGCTATGAGTTGGTGCCGACTCGATGGCACCTAGCAATAACAACAACAGCAACAACAAAGTTAAAGTTGACCATAAAGAGATTGAAAATATATATGAATAGAAATCTTGAGGTAGACTCAGATCTAGTGATGTGCTGTTGTTGTTGCTGTTAAGTGGTATATACTCAACTCATAGTGATTAGATTTATGAGGAGCAGCTGGTGGGTTTGAACCAACAACCTTGCCATTAATAATCCAGTGCTTACCCTACAACCTTTGTTTTTAATAAGCGCAGTCCAGTTGGTTCCCACTCATAGTGGCCCTGTGTAGGATTTTCAAGGAGCGGCTAGTGGGTCTGATTCACCAACCTTGAGGTCAGCACTCCAATGCTTATCCTACAGTGTCACACCAGATCTTCAGCCTTGTTAAGTGCCCTCAAGTCGGTTTGACTCATGGCAACCCTGTATAGGGTCCAAAAAGCTTCTGGTGGGTTTAAACCACTATTGCGGTTCAAAACTGACTTTGCCACCCAATGCTTAGTTTACAAGGCAACCCCAAGACTCCAGTCTTTGTTGTTGTTAAGTGCCTTAGAGTTGGTTCTGACTCATGGCGATCCAGGTATAGGGTTTCCGAAGAGCGGCTGGTGAATTTAAACCGCTGATAATGAAGTCCAGTGCATTATCCTATAGCGCCTTACCAGGACTCCAGCCTAGCAGTAGTTACTTACTCAGGGAGAGTGATGAAGACAGATGAAATACTGCGAACCATCGCTCTTTGAGAACCTGGCAGAAATAAGGCAGTCCTGGGAGGACACCAAAGTTGAAGTGTGAGAGCGGAGGTAGAATTTGGAGAGTGGTGTCATAGGAGTGGACTAGAATGGAAGACTTCAGCAAGGAGCTTCCAAAGAAAAGTTGAACAATTGTGTTGAAAGCTATATAATAGCCAAAAAAATCCATATGATTTGGCAAAGGCGACCTTTAATTATGCATGCGAGAGTTCCATTATAATAAGCGAGTGATTGAATGAACAAGTTAGAAGCCAGTGAGTGGAAAAGTGAAGGCAAGGAAGAAAATGAATGAATAAATCAAGTGCTGTGCCTTCTCTTGCCCTCTGACATTTTTATGACTAACATCGGGAGATAGTACCGATGCCGAATCTTCCACACAGGCCTCTGGAGGCCACGTAGGAAACCCTTCAATCTTGCCAACTGTAGTTACGTGCGTCTCGCAAGGTCAGAGTCACCTCGGGCTTCCTGGAGGCCGTCACCTTGACGACCAACTAAGAGAACCGGAAGCGACGGAAGCAGCTAGGTCATCTCGCGATATTTAGCGCGTCGGCGCAGGCTTTCCGGGCCTAAGATCAGCGGCCGGCTCTCGCGATACTTGTCTGGAGTCAGACCGCGGGGGCCGGCCGTCTGGAGAGCTGGAGCTGCGGGTGGGGAACATGTCGGATTCAGAGCTCGGCAGGAAGTGGGACCGGTGCTTGGCTGATGCAGTCGTGAAGATAGGTAAGGGGCTTCGCACCTGTTAGGATCTGTGCGGGCTCTGTTGCTCAAGATTCTGTTGACCAACAGGGTGGAAGAGAAGACCCATGGGAGGTCAAGCCTCCCGATACCCCGGGCTGAGGCCTTAGGCTTAGCCTGTTCCAGGCCCCCATGCCCGCGTGAGCTGCACAGCCCAGGAGGGAGGTCACTCGGCCGGCGGGGGACACAGGCCGGAGAAACCTGGGCAGATGTCCGCGGTGGGGCGGGGTGGATTTGCAACCCCAAGGAGACGATCGTCGGGATGGCAGGTGGCAGGAGATTTGTAGAGCGCTTCGAATGGAGGGCGATGTGCTGTGCACAATCTCGTGCCAAGGCTCGCCATTCTCCTACTCGGTGCCACTTTTCCCGACACGGGACGTGGAGCCTGGTCGTGAGGCCACATTACTCCCCAACAGACGAAAGTGCCTTCTAAAAAAGGTCATCGGGAGCGTTTTATAGACACTGCCAGGCTGTTTAGTGAGTTGCTGTCATTTCCGAATTATAAGCTGATTTCTCTGAATCCGAATAGCCTGGGGCCTAAAATTGTAGACTTTATGTTGGTGTTCTAGAATGAAAATAGTTACGCAAAGTAAAAGAATGATCTCTTTTCAGCCTCTATTGTAACTCTTTTTAACATGTCTTCAGTGAGGACACTAATTATGAAGTCACTACATGGGAGTGGGGAGAGGTACACTCATTGATTTAGCGTATATAATGCTGGCTTTACAACTTATAATACATTATAAGTGATTCTTTTTTACAAGTCGGGCAGTTGAGAGTTAGAGGGAAGGGATTAGCCCAGAGCTGCACTGCTAATAAATGTCAAAATGGTCAAAGTAGGGAATTTAACTCAGGAGACAGATAAAATTGTGTATGAAATCTTACGGTATTTGAGAGGGCTTGAATCCTAGGGATTGTGCCTCGAATGAAAATATTTGTAAAAAAAAAAAAAAGTCAGACTGTAGACTCCATGAGAGCGGTGGGTGGTGGTTGTGTGCTGTGGAGTCGGTTCATAGCGAACCTGTACGGGGTTTCCGAGGCTGTAAATCTTTACGGGAGCAGAAAGCCTCATCTTTCTCCGGGGGAACAGCTGGTAGTTTCGAACTGCTGACCGTTAGGTTCGTAGCCCAATTTGTAACCACTGCACTACTGGAGAGCCCGAGGGTTTATTCAGTGCTGTATTCTGGCTCCTAGAACAGTGCTTAATAAAAACTATGGAATGAATCAATGAATAATGTAACTTATTACAGTTACGCTTCACCTGTGAATTCACTACTTTGTAGCTATGTGTTTGAGGCAAATTATCTAACCTCTCTGTGCCTATTTCCTCGTTTTAATTGGCAATAATCTCATAGAATTGCTTTTGGAATTAATGAGTTAATTTATGGATCACTTGTTAAGTGCGTTGAGTTGGTTCCCAGCCATAGTGACCCTATATAAGGTTTCCGAGGAGCAACTGGTGAGCTGACTTTGCGATTCAAACCGAACTTTTGCAGGTCAAACTGACTTTGCACTCCAGCTTATTAACCCACAGTGCCACACCAGGACTCTTTAACATGTAAGAGAGAAGAATTTAACACCTACATATGAAATGACTAAAGTAATAAACACTATGATGTAGTAGTTAAGTATGGGCTTTGGCAGTAGACAGCTGAGTTTGAATTACCAGCTCCCAGTCTTCTCTCTCTCTCTCTCTCATACACACACACACACACACATACACACACACACACAAATTCTGTAGCTTTGGGTAAGGTCTTTTATCTGTGAAATGAGGATAAAGATTCCTAAAAGGATTAAAAGAAATAAAATAGATTACTCTGCACAATGCATGGCACATATTATGTATTCAGTAAACAGTGGTAGTAGTATTGATTAATATTTTTTTTACCACCGATGACCACCTGAGGCAATGGGTAGTGTGACTGTCATCTATGAATGGGAATTTACTGGGTAGGACATACAACTGTGAAATAATTAAATGAAGCAAGATAATTATGAGTCGGAACCTACTCGACAGCACTTAACAACAACAACAACAGGTAGAAGTTAAAATAAGTTATTCAGACTCTTTGCTGTAGAGTTTTTGCAAATCAAGTGGAGGGATGTACTCAACTCATCCAGTAAGGATTTGCAAGGGAAAGGGATTTCAGCTGACCTTTGGAGAATGGCTAGAATTTGGATAGTCTAGGAATGTGAAAGAAATTGAGCAGAGGCCAACTTGAACTTTTACCGAGGAAGCTCAAAGCACAGAGAGAGGTTAAGTAGTCAGAACTGAAGGAGTTGGAGTTAGCTCCCAGACACTCTTATTTCAGGTTTGAACCCACTATCCATTCTGCAGGAGAAAGAGGTGGCAGTCTGCATCCTTGGAAACCCTAGGAGGCAGTCCTACTCGGGAAATCACAAAACAGCATGGGAGCGTGGGGTTGGGTGGAGTCAGAATTGTAGAATGTCTTAGAGATTCCACTTTATCTTGAAGACTTTAAGATGTCTTTGACTTTGCACATGCATCCTGCGTATTCCACACCTCTGACTTAAAATCTAGTATAAGTACGTTGTTGTTGTTAGTGCCATCAAGTCAGTTCTGATTTATAGTGACCCTGTGGATTACAAACCACAAGATCAGCAGTTCGTATCTACATGCTGCTCCGTGGGAGAAAGATGAGGCGTTCTGCTCCTGTAAAGATGTGTAGCTTTGGAAACCCTATACAGGGTCGCTATAAGCTGGAACCGACTCCACATAACTACCATCCTAGGGTTTCTTAGGAGTGGTTAGTTGAGGTTTTATTGTGCTTCAAAGATCCTGCATTTTATGTTGATTTTTTAATAAAGTAAAGATTTGTGGCAGCCCTATGTTAAACAAGTTGGTTGGTGCCATTTTTTCCAACAACATGTGCGCACCACTTTATGTCTTTGTGTCACATTCTGGTAATTCTCATATTTCACACTTTTCCATAATACTATTGCACACTACAGTATTGTGTAAACATAACTTTTTTTTTTAACATAACTTTTTAAGCACTGGGAAACCCAAAAATTCATGTGACTCACTTTATTGCAATCTTCATTTAGTTGCACTGGTCTGGAACTGAACCCACAGTGTCTCTGAGCTGCTTTGACTTCCAAGACTCACTACTAAACAGTCTCGCCTGGTGGGGAGTCATGGATGGCTTTGTTGTTGTTGTTGTTAAGTGCCATTGAGTCTGTTTCTACCCATAGCGACCCTATATAGGGTATCCAAGGAGTGACTGGTGAGCTTGAACCATCGACTTTGCAGTTCAAACGGCTTTGCAGTCTGGCGCATTAACCCACGGCGCCACACCAGGGCTCCATGCATGGATGGCTTTTGTTGTTGTTGTTGTTATGTGCCGTGGAGTCGGTTCTGACTCATAGCGACACGATACAGGGTTTCTGAGGCTGTAAATCTTTACAGGAGCAGAAAGCCTCATCTTTCTCCCACGGAACAGCTGGTAGTTTCAAACTGCTGACCTTGCTTGCGGTTCACAGCCCAATCATAAGCACTACGCTACCAGAGCTCCTTTGGATGGCTTAAAGCAACCATTATTTATTGAGTGATGTCAGTGGCAAATAGAGAAGTGGCAAATAGAGAGTCAGTTGGTAAATAGAGAAGCATAAAGCTTCACTGCCCTATCAGGGAACTGATGTGGTATCAATGGAATTTTTTCTAAGATTGGTCTGGCAGTATTTTATACAGAACAGATTGGGAGTAGAGGCTAGCAGTACTGTGAAGGTCTGAGCTGTTAGATTTGAAAAGAATTGGATATGTTTGAGAAGGTTAAAACTTTCCCCATTTATAAAACCTCTACAGTAACCCCCACGCCCAGGTCAGCCTAGTGCCAGGTACATACTTTTGTTGTTTGTAAGTGCCATCAAGTTGTTTTTAATTCATGGCAACCTCGCATAATGTTTCCAAGGCTGTTTTTTAGGTACATAAATCCTGTGGATTAATCTGCAAAGTTGGTTTGAACCACAAGGTCGGTGTTTCAAGCTCACCAGCTACTCCTCAAAAACCCTATACAGGGTTTCTATGGTTTGAAACGTACTCGATGGCCCTTAACAACAATGTTGTTGTTGCTAAGTACCGTGGAGTTATTTCCCTACACAGGGTTTCAGAGGAATGCTAATTTCTTTAATTTTCTCTGCAGCTGGTTAACTTGGGCTCATCTTAATTTCTTATAACGATGATTCCAAATGGTAATGTTTTAAACAAAATTTGGAAGTAAAATACTAGAGGTGCACTTGTATATCTAATTTACAGTAGACAACAACATATCAGACATAGCTGATTATGTGGGTAGCAGGCAGATGTGCAACCATAGTTTTGCTGCTTAACGAAGTTCATCTGAGACGGGAGTTCCTCTAATTAATGTATTAGGTGTTGAGAATGTAAACAGCAGCACACACTTCACTTAAACAGTTTCTGCATATACCATTCAGTGATTTCATTCTTCCGTTTGTGCCTCCATTCTCACTCTCCTTTTCTGAGTTGTTCCTCCCCGTTGTCATAAATTCACTGCCTCTTAGGCTCTTACCTAAACTTTCCAGTTGCTGTGGTCAATTTGATCCCACAAAGATAGATCTTAAAAAGAACAAAATGCTCAAGGCAGACATTCTTTATTGGTTAAACGAAATTTTTGTTTAGTTTTAAGAAGACTTCAGGAGACATTTTTGGCTCAAGGTTTCAAATTATTTCAAGACAATAGTTTCAGGGGTTCATCCACCCTCCATGACTCTAGAAAGTCTGTATTTCATGGGAATTTGGAATTCTGCTTTGCATTTTGCTATACATTTACCATCTTACTCCCATTGATGAGTCTCTTTCCTCTTTTGCTCCAGCCCCTTGCAAGCTATTAAGACCCAGGCACGATAATGAATTAGGAGGTAGAACAGAAGCACTAAGCATGTTATTATATGCTTAGTTAGCTGGGATTTCCCATGAAACCATGACCCTAACCCTCCAAACG